TTTCGGAGGGAGGGCATGTCCCTTGATCCCATCGATCATTGCTGTGTCTCCTGAAGAGATCCGTAACTCTCATAAAACTATGCAATACCGTCAGCTTCGTCTACCAAGGGAAGGAATCTATACATCTCACCGATATGTGCCGCCTCAGTTGACAGGAACTAGTGAAAGAAACTAGCGAATTGGAAAAAGCCCCCCCCCTCCAAACTTGGGCAGTGCCCTCGCGATCAGCCCGGGAGTGAGTTTTAATCACTCGGGAGGTAATGAATGCCAACCTTTTTTGAAATGATTTTCAGAGGCATGTCGGTCGTGTTCTCTAATAGCGCAGGTTCGGGACTGCCTTAGCCGTTCGTTTCTTAAATTGTCTGCTGTAGCCCTGAGCGACTACCCTTGCTCTTGCTCTTTATTTTGTCAAATGCTACGTCCATGGCTGTCTTGTCTGTCACTTGAGCTTCGCCCAAGCAACCAAGTTTGGCTGCCAACGTTCTTTCGACGCCAAATTCAAGGGCTCCAGAAAACTTTCACTGAATAGGTCAGGTACTGCTTTCAGACTCTGGTGAAGGCGTTTACGCCAAAACGTACGTAAACCAATAAACTGGAACACTTCCACCAAATGCTCTAGAAAAATCCATGAGACTCGCGATGAAGGAGTACATGACCAGGTGAAAAAAACAACCTCGTCAAACAGACTTGAGCTTTGCTGCCTAAGAGTGTCCATAAAGATCATCCTAACAGCACTTTTTGCGATCAACAAAGTCGAAGCGGCGATCCACTTTTAAAGGCAGTTCGCACGATAATTTGGCACTCGGCCCAAAATGCTAGCAGGGCGCTATATAGTGGGAAAATGGCGAAAAAACGAAGTGAAACGGTCAAAAACCTGCGAAGAAAAGCCTTCGTTCTTAATGACTTAAAAAGCAATTGCCGGACGAGTTTCCCGTAGGCATCTTGTCCATAATTGCTACGGTATGTACTCAAATATCGTGCACGCATGTACTCATATATCCATGCAGCACCGCAGCTGCTTCATACCAATCCCTTCGCTTCATATTTTACTTAGCAAATGAAGCAAGTACGAGCATCAGGTACGGTCGTCCATTTGTGGGCGGGGCGCGGAGGGCGTTCGGATTTGTATGTTGTAGCTTGATAGGGCCTATAAAAATACCTCCGTTGGAAAAAACGCCACGCAGCGCCTGCTCGTTGCGGAATTCCGTCCTGCCAGGCGTATTAATCCTACTCTTCTCCAGGATTTGTCGTGCCAACTGCCTTCAAGGTAACCAAATCCTGGCTTGTAGATAGCACTCCTGTCGCCACCCAAAAGTGAACAGCGAGCCTGCCACGGGATTACGACTTATAAGGAAACGATTTCAACTTCTCACTTTTGGAAAAAGACTTAGGTACATTGAGAGTCTCGATTGCTGATGGCGAACAAGCAAACCAACTCGTTTGAATATCTACCAAAAGAGTTTCGGGCCAACAAAGTTAGCCGTATGTGCAGGCACGTAAGCACTGCTGACCAGTTCGCCGCCAGTGCCATCGTTGCTTAGTGGTAACAGCCACCCACTGGAGTCAGTGGGTTTGTCCTCACTCCATTGACCCAAAAACTTTTACTTTATCTTCGATTAGTGCTTCCGGCGTTCCCCCTGAATTAGCTACCCAAGAGAATTGTACCAGCCCTCACTGGTCGTTACATTGGTGTCTTGCGTCTCCCTCATTTTTTTCGCTGTTTCTCCCTTCATTTTGATTTCTCGCTCATTGTGTCCCTTCGCATCGGACCTTTTCACATACCCGCGCAATAGTCAAGGTAACGGCCAATGTGAGAGCACTATTAGTTGGGGACTCATTTTTCCCTCTTTTTTTTCCTCAATAAGGAGTCGGTTCGTGTCTTCATATTGCCTTCATAATACTTCAACACCACTGTGAACGACCTATAAAGGATAAAAGGATAAAGTCTTCGCCGTTGATCAATCCCTTTGTGGGATGCGGCACGCATTCTACTTCCATTCAGAATCGTAGTGGCTTATTGAATGCGATGTGGCCTATACAATGACTTGCGGTGGCCAGCCGATGTACAAGTCAGTGTTTTATCCTCCCAGACGAATCTGGTACCAATTTACCGTCCCCGGAGGGTAGAAGGCTTGGTTGGCCTGGGCGGGAGTCGACCGGGATTCGAACCCGGGACCGCGCGAGTGGTAAGCGCGCCACTTGTCACTACACCACCTCCGCCTTAAACGACCTATACCTGTGATTAAACAAATAGAGTGTTTGTCTCGCAGTCACGAACTTTTGGGATGAAGTCATCTTACCTTCGTAATCGTGAACATCGGAAAGTCAGCTAATATCTTCACTACCTTCACCACTTCACTTCGCCATAAGAAAGTCCGCAATAGCCCAGACGACTTAGCCTCTGCACGGCATCGCGAAGTGAGCATCCTGACCGGCGCCCAGTGGGAACGACACATTTTTTCGCCTTTGGTAGCATGACCCTGTATTGGGACTTATTGTAAGGAGCGACAAAATTTATACTATACTGTTTTTGCTATTGCTTTAATTGACAACTATAAGTTAAGAAGTACAAAAAGCGTCGGAAAGCAAATGATAGAATGGTTTTTGTTGCGGTGATTTCCTTTTTTACTGTGTACTCTCTTTTAACTGTTTCCCCTTTGCATTTCGCGATGTTGAGGGTTGGACGTCTGTAATTTTGAAGGACCTTCTGATCTGGAATCCGGAGCTTCTGCAGGAATGTGCCTGCATGGATTGCAGTGTTGGCTGCCACTGCTGATCAGTGCTGACTCTCCACTCCTTTCCATAGGTTTTGAATCTAACTTTTACATGCACGTAGAGGTAGCGGAGAAATATTTTCATCTAAAACTTATATTGATAATTTATTTAGTGCACAATGTAAGTACAACTATCGCATTATTGTACAAAGATCTCAGGACTTTCGATTCGATGACTTAATTGAATAGGAACGAAAGCGGGTCTTCGATCTTTCGTTGAGACCTCTTTTTACGGCCATTGTTATTATAGGGATCATAATATCGCAAATTCACTCCACAGGTTGTGCATGATGATGGAGCCGGTTGGATGTAAGTTGGTGCAGGAGTGGAGCAGGTCAGGCAAGGAGCCGGCTGTTGGTACTGCGAGCAGGTGAGGCATGGAGCTGGAGTGACTGGTGGATCATAGTATGGTATTTGTTGACAGGTTGTACAGGCCGCAGGGCATGGTGCGGTATTGCAAGACTGGACGTCAGTAGCAGAGCCGAGACACTGACAGGTACTGCAGCCACCATTGCAGAGACGTCGCCTGACTCGTGTACCTCCTCCACATGATACTCTAAAAAGAGATAGTTATTTATTCATTTCAAAATCAATTTAAAAAATTCTAAATGGACGGGAAACTATGCGAACTGATACGCTTACGTGCATTGCCCGAATGCTCCCCATTCGCCCCATTGAGCTGGTGGCATAGTGATTGGTGGAGCCGGAGGAGCTGTCTGACAAGTGCTGCAGGGAGCGGTAGGAGGTGGCAGCGTGCAGGTTGTGCAGCCTGTCGCTTGCACTCCCGAGCCGAGTGTATACGCTGAGGAACCTGAACTTTCATACTCTAATGAATATTATCAAGAAAAATGTTGTCTTCACGATAAATATGATAGACAAAGGAATAAGATGGAGTTTTTGTTGCCTCGTTTCGTATAAACCACGTACGCCACTGTGGTTCAGAGTCCAGAGACATTTGAAACATGTTTGGACGTCAATGAAGGGAATCTGGCGCTATTTCTATCTATAACTTGTAGCGAAGGGTAGCTGGCTTTTTAAGGGCTGAGTCTAGCGGGGTAATATTACAGAAACTGCAGAAAAAGCGAATCATCGTCCCCTAGAGCTAATCTTCAAATGGAGCACCTAGCCGCACTCTTTCACCGTGTGAGATGTGAAGTTCATGTCAGTGAGATATTTCCTTATCAGTCGCCACTGTTTAGCACGGAATAACAGAGTAAAAGAAGACATCGGGACTCCGGACGCTGATTTCTGCCTGTTTCTTCACAAACGATGGATCTCTGACTCCTACTAGGCTACTCTCGTGTTCGTGTCGGACAAGTCTAGCGAAACCGAGCAATCTCGTAGAAATTTAAGACTTGGATGAAGTGGGGGAATACGATCCAAGATACTAGCCTGGATTGTGTGACATGAACAGAGCTATCTACACAGTACCATCATTAATCGAACGAAAAAAGTAACAAGATTCACATACCGGCAATTGCAGCTACTATCAGTGTTGGAACCAGCATTACGTTTCAACGAGCAGCCTACGGTAATCATTTATAGCGATATCTATTTACGCAACATTGCTGACAGCATAGGCGCATGGCCATCTGAGTGGTTTGTAGGATCATTCACGCGCTGGAGCCCAGAGATCAGCAAAAGGGCTATGAGTCACTTCTACACGAGAAGAGCAGAATGAGACTTGAGAGCTCACCTAAGTATCGGTGATGAGACCAAGCACCTCATGCCGTTGTGGAATTTTTGCAAAAACACTCCCTCTCTTCTCTCCTTGGAATTTCCTCCTGCTGTAACACCTCTCTTCCCATTTCGCTATCCTATATAAACATCCTTACATCGCCTGCTCCCAACATCTTTTACTTTTCGAAAGCTTTGGTGATATTTCAGTTGATTAATCTCAAGCAATTTTTGCTGTCGAGCAGGGGAGGGATTGGATCTGAAGTCGCAGCACAAAAATTCTTAAAACCGGATACACGACTCACACCCCTCCCCCTTCAAAGCGACGACACAAGTAAAATAATTCAAGACTAGATAGCGACCTCTTCACGACTAAAATCGACGGACTCTCTTCATAATTCCTCTTCATTATGGGTTCTGAACGTTCTCGAACAAGGTCCCTTGAAGGTAGCTGGCAGCCATACATTTGGTACTGTCGGTCCAATTATGGTAGTAGGGTGATTACACATAAAATGACGAAAAAGCTAAGTAGAGAGGGATAGAAACTCACGAAGAAAGCTCTTTGTTTTAACGATTTGGAAATCGATTTCGGACAAGTTCCGTTGACGGCTATAGTTATGTGCCTATGATATTCATATACATGAGTCAGCTCGCAAAGCCATTCATATTGAGCGCCCTTCGACTCAAATTTTAGTACCGCCAAATTGAAAGCGATTACGAGGCAGAATCGTCGACATTTGTGGGCAGGCGGGCGAGGTGGGCGTAAGTGCGCGCTGATAGGGCGCTCTAGGGCTTCCTTGGAAAAGCGCACGGCAGAGCTTGCACAGTGGCGCTGAATAATTATAATTCGGCGATGCCGCCCCAGCTTCATTGTGGAACGCCCGAGTTTGTTACGTTTTCGAGAGATTTAAACCCAACTACCATTTTTTCCACGTCCCCTGCTGTGGTTGGGTAGATTAATGCAGCCGGAGAGTCGTGCTCACTCGCACCCTCTGATTAAGTCAACTCAGTCTCGTTCGCCGCGTAGATGCTGGGCCTTCCATGGAAGGGCGGGGGAAGGGAGGGTTTTGCGGCGTCAGTCGCATCTTCCAGCAGTTTGTGTTTATGGCCTGTCCGCTTCAACAGATCAAAAGAGAAGGAAAGTGGCGCTTGCCCGTGCCAGTCCCTGCACGGGTACCAAGCATCCGCGCGAAGCAAGACTGCGCGTGAATTTAATCTTATTATTACACTATCACATGGTTTCTTACACCAAATCTAAACAACACATATAGTATACATAAAGCAACTCCGGACGTTTTGCATAGTCGACTCGTCGAAGATGGCCAATAAACGTCATCATCAGGGCACTTTCTGTCGCTGAGATGGGGGGGGTAGGCAGGAGAATTCTAGTACGCTTCCCACTCGCGTTTTCCCCGCTTTTTTTTTCCGAAATTTTCCAAGTTTTCAAGGATGTTAATGGTGATAGCTGCTGTTTAAAGGCCTGTCAGTGCGCCGTACTCCGAAGTTACCACAGAGAGCGCTGAGTTGCGGGCAAAAGCAGACTATGCGAGCGGGATTCGAACGCCGCACTTTCCGGCTTTCGTATGTTGCGTTCCTTACGCTGGGCCGAGCGTAGCAGCGAGAGTTCATACTTAGACCGCTCCGGAACACATTCGCATCACCGCGGTCGTCGGTGGGCGTTGCAGAGCGCCGCGCCCCAACGCTATTATATGGACTGCTCGCTTGATAAATAAGGAATCCAACTTGTGAGACCTTCTTTTCTCTTAATAATGGCTACTAACTGATAACTTACGACTTTCTATACATAAGCGGATCTGGAATATGAGGTAAGGAGGTTTCACTTCTTTTTAGGTCGGGATAAGACCAACTCCATTTCCTGGGTGAGCTTCTTTTTTTTGTTTTTATTGTTTCAATTTATGCAAGCGCCTCAAAAATTCCTTGATCGTCTGAAATCGTTCCAACTTTCCAAAAGCATCAGTTGATTAGGTCGAGTTCAAATAATGAAACTCAACCTAGCAGCCAAACACAATCATTTAATCGCAACATCACAATGAAACTTTATAACCTCATGTATAAGCTCGACGAATGAAAAAAGAAACAATAAAAACCTACCCTAAATGAAGCTCTCACGCTTTTTGCTCATTTCTATCCTGAATCAAGAAAGAAAATAGAAAACAAAAGCCATTAAGTTGGGTTCACCTTTCTTGTGTCAAACCAAGCTTCAGTACCTAAGAAAATTGCAGTTAAAGGAAAAAAGCATGAAATTGAGTCGCTTCTTCCCAAAAGCCTTCGGAGCGCAAGTAATAGCGTTGGGGCGCGCTCTGCCATGTACCGACGATCGCGGCGATCGCCGAGGTCGCCGCGATCGCCGCTGCTGTCGCGAAGTATGAACGCTGCCTTACTCTCTCAGCTCCGCAGTGCGCGATTGCGGTTTCAATTTTATCGCCCATTGGCGATAAACAGTATTGTCTGCGAGGTGGAGCTCTGCACTTCTCTGTCCAGATACTGAGCTAAACCCACAAATTCTCCAATTTTAATTTCCACAATTCTATCGTTAACTGAAAGGAGTTTCAGTTTTTTACCGAAATTATGCTCCGAGCGAGATGAAGGGAAGATGGAATGTTGCCACCTACCACGCAAAGCACCAAAGCACATATGATCCGTTTCCCTTGTTCCCAAGACCAAGCAGAATACCAGCATTCATCGGAACTTCCGTTATTTTTTCCCAACGAGGATGTCGAATGTAGAATCATCCATATCGCCGTTTGTGCCAGTCATCGGAGCAGGTTCGCAGTTTCAATGTTTATTTTACTGAGGATCCTAGGACTCTACCTTATATCGTTTTTCATGGACTGAAGGGATTTGGAGTCAATGCACCTCCTCAGTAGGAAGGAACGTACTATTTCGCGCTCCGCTTCGAACCCCAGGCTGCGTCGCGGTGATGACGCGGCTGCGTTTTAAAGGTTGCTCCACCGAATTACCCTTTAAGCAGCAGTGATTCCTTTAAGGTGAGATAAATCTTAAATCCTTTAAACAGTAGTGTGGTGATGTCTAGACGAAGTGGCTGCTTTGCAGTGCTTTATGGTCAAAAATGTCTGAGGTAGGTGAAGGATGAGGGTTTTAGGCTGCTTTTAGCTATAAACTCGAGAAAATTTTTAGTGTAAGCACGTTAGCACCTATTTAGGAGCAATTTATCTGAATTTAGTGTTATTTTGCCCTTTTTCTGCTCTCCAAGAGTTTCTGCTTCAGGAATGGCATCTCGTATGCGGGTTTTCGCGAGACATTTACGAGATAGTGAAGTTTATGAAGATCGAAAGGCCTTTGAAAATGATCACGAGCTCCATGACCCACAGCTCAATGAGGTGAGTCCGGTTCGTTCGTATTGGGTGGGTGTACGAGAGAATGGGTGTGGGTCAGGTTTCCCAGTCGTTTCCGCGAGTCAGGCCCGCGTTCATACATGATACAGAAATGCGGAATATGCAGAACTGCGGAATTTGCAGAAAGGAAATATATACGTATCGATCTGAAAACTGCATTTCTTCAAAAATTCCGCCGAATCTTGGCCGACATGCAGAAATGACGGCAGAAAGTTGTTTTAGGATCGATTGGTTCTTCCTTGCGCGTTCTGACTGCGAATTGGTACGACATGCAGAATCTGCCAGATTCTGCCAGATTGCGTCACGACTAGGCAAGAACTCCCGGAATTTGCAAAAATTACGGACAAACAAGCGATAGGGATCGATCGGTCCATCGGCATTTCTGCAAATTCCGCACTTCTGCATATTCCACGGTTTTTGAAATCGATAGACATATTTTCTTTTTCTGCAAGTTCCGCGGTTCCGGCGATGCCGCAAGGCCTGGCAAATACGCAGGTTTGCAAATATCGTAGTTCTGCACATTCCGTGGTTCTTATTTCTGCATCCGGTATGAACGCGGCCTCAGCTAGCTCAGCCTTCATAAGATCTCTGCGCGGCTGACGAATACGATATTGCACAGAAATGCTGGTATAAATGACGGAACCTCGTCTTATTTAATTATTTTTCCCGCATGTTCCTGTCAGGAAAGCAGTATGTTCATTTTTCGAGCTCGTGAGGTAAACGAGAATTGGATCAGGGGACAGTCCTGTGACCACAAATGATGGGCAGTAGCTGTTCGGGACATTTTGAATTAGAACAGAAAAGTTTCTCTATCTGCTGTGGTCTAAATTGTAGGATCTGCTTTGCGACCAAGAGATAACTTGATGCAGGTGATATCGACGAACAAGATGAACTGCATTTTATACGTTCACATGGTTTTAAAAACGGAGACAGGTTAGTTCAATAAGCTCGATTCTATCCTCAATAGAAGGATAATAGGTCAAAGTGGCCACTTCAAGTGAAATGTTTTTCTAAGAGGCCTTTTGAGCGAGACGATCTTTAGAACCACGCGACGTCGCGTGCGCGGTAATCTGCAAAAATCGCGGGCATCCAGTAAGGCGCAGGCTTGCGATAAACTCGTTGCATTATGGAATCAGTATGTGTTCCCTTCAGTTTTCAGCCATGCTCTTAACTTTGGTTGGACCTGGATTGTCATGACCGTTGAATTTTATTTTATTTGTATAACAAGAGTGATTACATAGCGACTGTAACGCAGAGAAATCTGCGAATTAATTAGCTTACCTGCTGATCCCTAGTTATTTGACAGTCGCAATGCTTTCGGAGCACCATTCTCTCAAGAACTGTACTTACTGTGTAGTATTGCTGAAATAGCACTGGCTTTCCTGATGAAATAATAGCAGCGATGTCAGTGTCGCCATAAAAAAGCCATCGCAAGCGCACGCCGATCGTAGCCGCACGGTATTTGCGGGTGTCGTAAGCGGCGCCCCGTGGTCCTTCAGTCACATATCACTCTTCCAATGATGATGAATTCGTCTTCCATATCGGCTGCGGACGTCTCTGAAAAACGTTTCTGAGGTTTTTAGGTGGAGTTTACACATTCGAAGACATTTTGTGACGGCATGAACCTCTCATACCCAATAAAATTTCGCGCGTAAGGCTCTTTCAGGGGCGGAGCTGTAGCCTAACGTTACTGACTCATGTTACTCCGATTGTAATTCAATCCAATTCCCCTCCCATCCGAAGTAGCTTTCCGCTAGAAATTTGTATTGTGTTGTAATATTCAGTAATATACTTCCTCGTTGAGAGATCCACAGAAGATATAATCACCGCACAAAGGCACATCTGACGGCCTGTACCTCATTTCAGATGCCCAAGTTGGCTTAGCATTTTTTCATTGTCAAACACACGTACATTCTAAAGTTTTTTTTTCGACGAAATAGGACTCTAAGCAATAACTAGGCGGAATTTTTTCGTGTTGCTTCACAGGGTTGACTGAATTTCTACTCGTTTCCTATTAGATCAATTTTAGGCGGCTAATAAAACCTCGCAAACGACGACGTGGTGTTGATGATAACAGCAGCATAGACAATGATATTGATTATACCGCCACCAAGTAGGTCAGGTGCAAGTAAATACTATGTCCAGTTAGCAATTATTCGGAATTTAGTTACTACCATCGCTACAAGAATAAGTCCTACGTTCGGAGGAACGATGTTGGTAAATATTGTCAAGTCTGCAAGGCCAAACGTCTAGGGGGACGTTCACGCGGTCTCCCAAGTGATTTGCAGGTATCGCTTCGCACACTGATTTTTCTGGAGCAGTACCAAGAAATAGGATATTAACCTTTCTATTCGCAGCTCCGCAAATTGTGGATTTTACGATTCAATCTTGAGCCGGAACGAGCTGCGGAGTTGTGGGTGAAGGATGCATTTGCTGACAATTCACACAGCGGCGAAGTTTGCGCTATGCACTTTCCAGACGACGATTCATATCGTAATCCCAGGGACGTTCTCCCAATCGACATGAGAGAACCAGATGTGAGCGAGTTTTACCTTAAATAAGCGGTTCATATCGCTGAGTGTTATCACAAGGATTGTGAACTATCTCAAAAGTCTTGACCCCTGGCGGAACTCAAATTCTCACTTCGCACCTTCCGGCTGAGCGTGTTATATTAAGTCATCCCATTCAGAAGTGCCGACGGTTTTGTCTGAGTAAACAAAGGGGAGAATAAATGAAGAAGTAATATTTTGGCTTTGAGTTAAGTAAATCCCTCCTTCACCAATGACCGCTCCCAGTGCCCCGAAAGCCTTTGGACCTCTGGTACCTTCGATTTTTCAACAAGTGCGAGTAAATTGCTGTTGATGCCAGTTTCGGCGAATGACAAAACATTGTAGCGTTACTGACCAGAACAGTCGAGAGTACAGAACAGTTGGAATCGCAGGCGTTATTTGGGCGAATGGGGCGATTGAACCCAGGTCTCAGTATTGTTTATCCCGGCGCTGCCTACAATACAGTTTCTCGGGGTCTGGAGCTATGACGAGCAACGGCTGGCCTTCTTGTAGTTGTGTGGTACCATCCATTTGTCGATCTGACAGGCAATACGCACCGATGGCGACGATTTTATTCTCTGTATAGAGCCGTTGGAAAGCCACAGCGTGGAAATCCTCGACAAAGGTCCCGACCAGGGCAGCATCGTTGTGTGAAACACATAGGGGGGGTCGTACTTTTCCGCTGGGGAGGGGGTCGTATTTGGGGTAAGACAAATTTATTTTGATAGTTGATTTTTTCTTGTGGAAAAAGGGGGTCGTATTAATTCGTATTAATTTTTTGTGTTATATGCACCCTGTACACCCGCCGGATATACGTTGCATAGTTATTGTATACCCCCGCTCGACGACTTTTTCGCCGACTATATACTCATCGCTCGTCAGTCGGCGAAAGAGCCGGTCGAGCTGAGGGGGGGGGGGTCGTACCAACGGGGAAAAAAGGGGGGGGTCGTGGCGTGGACCCCATTCGGAGGGGGGGGGTCGTACTCACACCGACATTTCGCCTATCCCTATGCTGTACCCTGGTCCCGACTCTGGATCAGACATTCAGCTTGACTTCATCCACCCTTTTGTGCAGGATGAACATTATGGGACCATCCACGACAACAAATTTTTTCCTTTCTTCCTTCTTCGGGCTCCTGAACCAAACCTTCCACCTTGTATTTCGAGAACACCATTACACACAACTACTGGGTCCGGCGCAGGTCTCTTATGACGCCTAATTTCAAAATCCGGCGCTGATTTTCACCACTCGGGCTTCTTTTCAATTCTCGAGAACTTCTGTGGTAGGTTCGCCAAATTTCACAGATACACAGCTAAAGGTACTAGCTCCAAATGGTATAGTAGCCCGCTGCCCTATCCCCTTTGCTTTTCTGCCATTCCTCTATATCTCGGCACTTTTGAATGGGATGAGATGACCTAATACATTGTAGCCAAAAAGTACACTCACCTCGTGGCCTGGTACCTGCCGTGTTGAAAGAATAGATTCCCCGTGCAGAACCACGCCACTTTCTCCGCTCAAAAGTCCGCAGAAACGGGGCTAGGGTAGTAAATAATAACCCAGGAGCTGTACCCTCCGCTTCGCGCTGCCACTTGGTCAGCAGGCGCCGAGCCAGACAAGCTACTCCCGGTTGACTGCTGAGTATGTACTCCATTGAGGAACCATGGCATCGACGTAAGTGCTGCACCCTAAGGATAGCGCAGGCGGCGGATGACGGCCGCGGCACTCGGGTACCTCCACCCTCCATCCTCGATACCGCACACTTTTCAGCGGAGAAGGGGCATACTGCCACAGCTGCGAATCCATTCGTTTGCATGTTGCAACGATCGTCCTCGTAGGTGAGTGTGCGCTTCGCCCGCTCCCCAACCAACATGACCCTTTAAGCCTTTTGGTTCAATGAGCTTTGCCCTATAGCCTTATAGCACTAGCACAATTAATAACGAACCGATCGCCGAGATCGACGATGAAATGTGAGCCTGAAGGCTACGAATGCTTTTGATGTTGACATGTTCAGAGGCTGTTGACTGTTATTGCGTATTTGAAGTCTTTTTTGGAACAAACTTTAGTAGTAGTTTTTCTTAGTGTTGCGCGTTCTCGAAGCATTTTCAGAGTCAAAATAGCTGGTTTTCGGAGCATAGAAATCTTGTTGCGAAAATGGGCGGTGTTAATGCGATATACCGAAGAAATTTCATTTTCAGATGATGACTGTAGAGTCTGATAACGTAGACTTTGGGAACATGGTTCTAAGCTGCGTGTTTTGCAAAGCCCAGCGTCCCTTGAAGTCTATGATTCCGTTTGCTCGTGCACGCTTTCGACGTCGTCGATGGATTACAGCACTCTGCGATGGCGATGCGCAGATGGAGAGGTGTGTTGAAATTTTGGCTACTCATGAACTGGTTTTATTTAGAGAAGAATTTTTTCATGTCCTTTGGAAGAAAATTCACCCTGTTTACAGCCACCTTCGTGAGGCTCTGAAGAACGGGTCCACTAAATTTCTCTGTGATTGGCATTTTGCCGATATCTGCTTCTCCATAAATACATTCGGCGAATGGAAGTTGAAAAAGGATGCACTACCAAATCCTCATGTAAGACAGTTTCTTCCATGTTGAAGACATAGCCCGAGATCGATGTGCTGGTTAGTAGAGCTTAACTACCAACAACAAGGTACTAAGTAACTGAATAATAAAAAAGAAGGCAGGAAAAACTGTCGGAAATGCCCTATGTCAGACCTCCGTGCCGATCCTAGCTTGCACATGCGTAAAGTGAAAAAAGGGTGTTTGTACGGTCTTTCTGTTCATCATAACGGTAGCAGCTCTTCTCCTTTTTCATTTAATTCTTAGGCTGCGTCTATACTTTGCGGCGCGTAGCGTAGCGCTTCCAGCGTACGCCAGCGGCAGTGTCGGGGAAGGATATCGATCTAAGCTGTTCGCCGAGCGCGTTCACCAGCGCAACGCTGGTGAAGCTAGATCGATAGCTTCCCGTGCCATCGATATGCATCCTTTCCCCGACACTGCCGCTTGCGTACGCTGGAAGCGCTACGCTGCCGCAAAGTATGAACGCAGCCTTACCATTCGGAATGGAGATAACCAGTAGACGGTCTAGCAGCTAGTAGCTATGGGGGGGGGGAGAGGAAGGGGGTGGTTGGCAAGGGCCTAAGGGGTGCTAATGGGCTTAGCTTCCCACCGGAAGCAATTTTTTTGGATATGGTACAGCCTCTACGATTGCCTACCGGATCACCTGACGTATTTGACAAGTTATAACCATAGTTTATAGCGAAACGTGCCTATAACTTTTTGATGAGCATAATTACGTGTCGCTTTAGCTGCGGGAGAATGAGCGCACCTCCATGCGCATTTATATGATCAACCACCTGGATTCGACTATACAAAGGAACGATGAGTTGCGCAGAAGACGAGTGAACTTCTTGATGTTGAGGAAGCATGCTCAAGAAAAGGTATGAAGGTGTCTAGCCATTCTTTCCTAATAGATTTCTGTATATGGCAGTAGCACGAGACGAGCGCAATGTCCTTACATTAGTACTGCGTCAGTACTCATGAATATGTTCAGGAGCGAGTGGATCGAGAGAATTCTCGCTCTGTGCTGGATAAAATGAGGCGTACATTCCCAAGATTGGTGTCCGATGCAACCGCTGATCATTTCGTTTACGAGCATGACCAAATGACATCGGATTACTCTCAAGGAAATGGACGCCGCCTGAACGCTGTCGATATGTGTAACGTGGATTACTTGGAAATAGATCCTGAAATGCCTTTACTGTATCCGGATCATGCAGGTGAACTCTACGATGAAGTAAATAGTCATTAGTAATATCAATGCCTTATGTAACCCTGGATAGCGCGGGTGGTTAGCGGACCATTTGTCAACACACAACTCTGCCTTTTCGAAGACCCTAAGCACATAGGACATACATAAGAGTGTTAACGACAGCATCTGTACCAGTACACTGTAATTTTAATTAAAGTAGCGCCCTCGTTCAATCCTTTTGTTTAAAGGCAGGCCTGAAAATGGTGATCGATGCTGC